TGATCCCGGTTTTTCCCCTCTCTCTCTGATCCCGGTTTTTCCCCTCTCTCTCTGATCCCGGTTTTTCCTCTCTGATTTTCTCGGCATAGTTCGGGCCCAAGCCTCGCGTGAGCTCCATGTAAACAAACAAATCGTCATCTCGCGACTAACGGTCGTCCGGCCGCGCGCACCTCCCGCATGTAAATTGACAACCAGCCATCATTGCCTGTCGGAGTCGATCTCACACCACACTAAATAGTGGTCCCTGACAAAAAGTGACTCAAATTCAAACCTTCACACAGATAAAGCCGGCATCATTTCCCCTTTAAAATTTAGGCCCGGTTTCAGGACGGAGGTGAACGGATGTCCCGCCCAGCATCATTGTTTATTGGTTGAAATGAATGAGTGACACCTCTTTTGGGGCGGGGAATATGGCTAATACCATACACTATTGGCTGCTCATATGCCTGTCATTTGAGCCCCGTCCCCTGCCGCTTCCCCCTCTCTCCCCTCTTCAGTTGTCAGCGTTTGGCTACGGGGTGGAGATCGACAGCCAGAAAGCCATCGGGTTTGTGTCAGATTTTAATATCCATTAATATTTTAGAATTGTAGGTTCTCTAGGGAAACTTATAGAAAGTGAAGATTCTCGCAGCCGGGCTTTATGTTTGTGGGGATCCCAGTGATGGTGTGGGCACTGGAAGCTCAGAATGGACCTGGGATCTTCCACCTGTTTACCTGAGAAAAAGTCGCTGCTACGTTATAAATCATTTTTAAACAAAATCATCTAGCATCTTCCTGTTTCTCCATATTAAAGAAAAGCAAAATTTACGTTCCTACAATCGTCTTGCACCAAGATCTCCCGAAGCATTTTGCAGCCAATTTTATTTTCAAGTTGTCATGTAAGAAACGTGGCAGCCTGTTTGCATACGGCGAAACCCCGCAGGCAGTGACATGTCAGTGATATTTTAGGGTTTAGTTGAGTGATAAGTAGTTGCTCCAGACATTGTGAGGAGCACCCTCTGCTTTTTTTTTTGAAATAGTGCCCGTGGGATCTTTCCCATTCACCATAGATGGCTGGTGCCTCTTGATTTAATTTCTCATCCAAAAAGCACTCCAGGACTCCCTCAGTACTATACTGAACTGGACCTTCGATCTTGTGATTGTGATTCAAGACCAGAGCGTTCTGCTGGACAAGAATACTGTTATGACTGACAAGTTGGTGGTGATGCTTTCCTTGATTGTCTCTGCCCCTTCTGTTGGGCCGTCCTGTATTTGTCTGCAATTTGTTTAATGGCAATTATTGTGGATTATATATGGATGATATTCTTCTTTTCTACCTTGGATTATTGTAATCTGTAGTAATAGTGAGTGGATTGTGAAGTAGAGCACTACAATGGATAACTGGTTACAAATTATTGCAAGCTAATTTTCTTCTGACATAAAAAGTATGTATTACAAGGTTAAAATCTATTCAAATGTAGAAAACAAAGATATCTAATGATGTTACAACCACTAACCAGCTTGGTGTGGTTGAAATTAGTCGGAGATATTTTGTAATTCCATCAAGTAAGTTCTGTCACCAGACCATGTGAAATTTACTCAGTTGTGGCCTCTGACCAAATCATGTAGAATAACTGAGCAAAGCAACAAGCCAAAGACAAAATGACAAAAAAGAAGCATCTTGGCACTTGTAGAATCTAGGCAAAAAGTTAATGATACAATCTTGTTTAATTCTGACATGCACTTCTTAATAGATTACTATCAATATTAAATAAAAACCAAAAGAACTGCGGATGCTGAAAATTAGAAACAAACACAGAAATTACTGGAAAAGCTCAGCAGGTCTGGCAGCATCTGTGAAGAGAAATTAAAGTTAATGTTTCAGGTTCGGTGACGCGAAACATTCTAAGGAAGGGTCACCGGACCTGAAAGGTTAACTCTGATTTCTCTTCAGAGATGCTGACAGATCTGCTGGGCTTGACCTATCAATAGTGCCAATAGCATGGGAACTAATATGTTTCATAAAGAAGTTGATTCTTTTTGTTTGTTTTGTTATTATAGCTATAGATATTAAAATTGGAAGTGAGGTAGGGCGTGAAAAAAACACTGACGGGTAAGATTGGGGGAAATGTTTTATAAATATATCAAGAGGAAGAGGATAACTAGGTAAAGAGTAGGACCCATTAGACGTCCATCTGCGTGTGGAGTTGGAAGACATTGGTAGGTATTAAATGGGTACTACCATTTGTCATCACTTTGGAGAAGGAGGATGTAGGGACAAAATTCAGGAAGAGGGTTTGTCAGGTTCTTGAGCAGTTTGCCATAGAGAGCGCTGAGGTATTGGAGGTTTTAGTTGGCTTAAAAGTGGATAAATTCCCAGGCCCAGATGAGTTGTATCCCAGGCTGCTGTGAGATGAAACTACAGCAGCTGTGATTCAAATTTTTAATTCTTCTCTGGCCACAAGGGAGGTGGTAGAGGACTGGAGGACAGCTGACCTGGTTCCACTTTTCAAGAAGCATAGTAAAAATAAATCAGGGAATTACAGATCAGTATGTCTTGGATCAGTGGTAAGAAACTTCTGGAGGAAATTCTGAAGGAAAGAATGACTCTCGACTTGGAAAGGAAAGATTTGATCTCAGATCATCAGTATGGCTTCATCAACGAGAGGTCATGCTGAACAAATTTGATTGAATTTTTCAAGGCTGTGATCATGTGTGTAGTTGAGGGTAGTATAATTGATGTAGTTTACAAGGATTTCAGCAAAGCCTTTGACAAGTCCCACATGGAAGACTGATAAAGAGGGCTAAAGTATGTGGAATCCAGGGTAACATGATAAGTTGGATCCAGAATTGCCTTAGTGGTAGGAGACAGAAGGTGATAATGGAATGCTATTTGTGTCACTGGAGATTGATGTCCAGTGGCATACCATAAGGATCAGTGCTGGGTCCCTTATTGTTCATGATAAACTAATTAAAAATCTGTAAATCTCAGCAACCAATATACTGAATGACTATGCTTCAACAGCCCTCTCTGGGGAAGAACTCCCTGGATTCACTACCCTCTGAGAGAAAAAAATCCTCCTGTATTTTATATGGGGGACCTCTTACTCTGGGATTAGGTCCTCTGGACCTGGGCTCTACCACAAGGAGAAGCAGACTCTGCATCTATCCTGTCAAGCCACCTAAGAATCTCATATGTTTCAATGAGATCTTCTCTCATTCTTCTAAACTCCAATGAGTGCAAGCCCAACTTACCACAACTGTCATAAGAAAATTTCTTCATATGTGGGATTAATTTAGTGAACTGCCTCCAATGCCAGCATACCTTTCCAGTATAGAAGGGGACCAAAACTGATTTTTATTCATTTACAGGATGTGGGTGTCACTGATTAGGCCAGCATTTATTGCCCATCCCTAATTGCCCAGAAGGCAGTTAAGAGTTAACCACATTGTTGTGGGTCTGGAGTCACATGTAGGCCAGATCAGGTATGGATAGCAGTTTCCTTCCCTAAAAGGCATTAGTATTCCAGGTGTGGTCTAACTAATGCCTTTGTAGTTTTAGTAAGACCTCCTATTTTTATATTCCATTCCCTTTAAAATAAAATATCAGAAGTTACGTGACACCAGGTTACAGTCCAACAGGCTTATTTGAAATCACAAACTTTCAGAGGTGATCAAAAGTGTCAGATGGTGTGAGTAAAGTGTCACTTGCTGAATAGCAAGTGAAGGGATGACCTGTGATCCAATTAATTGAGGCAGAGAGATAATTACAAAAAAAAAAGTGCTGGTGACAAACCAAGTGGTTGGAATAACATGATGGGTATAAGAGTCACATGCCAAGAGGCTAACCACAGTAACTTGTTATTCACTTGCAGAGACTTGTTATTTGGCCCGTCGACACTCCATTTACATCATTTGTATGATTTTTTGATTTCTCTGCCTTTAAATTCTGTGCCTGTGTGCTTTTCTTCACTTCACCTGACAAAGGAGCAGCGCTCCAAAAGCTTGTGATTTCAAATAAACCTGTTGGACTACAACCTGACCTTGTCCACCCCCATCCAGCACTGGCACCTCCACATGATAAAATAAAATGCAACAAGCAATTTGCCTTCCCCATTATAAGCTGAACTTGCATGCTAGCTTTCTGTGATTTGTGTACAAGGATCCCCAAATCCCTCTGTTCTGCAGTTTTCTGTTGTCTTTCTTCATTTAAATAGTATTCAGCTCTTCTATTTTTCCTGCCAAAGTGCTTAATCTCACATTTTCCCACGTTATATTCAATTTTCCACGTAACATGTCTGTATCCCTCTTGTAGACTCCTTGTGTCATCGTTACGACATCCTATCTATTTTTGTGTCACCTGCAAACTTGGTATTAGTACATTCTTTTCTGTTGTCCAAGTCATTAAAATATATCTAATAATTGTGACCCAAGCACTGATCCTATGGCACTTCACCAGTTACAGGTTATCATCTGAAAAATGTTCTCTTTATCCCAAATTTCTGTCTTCTATTAGTTAGCCATTCCTGTATCCATGCTTATATTCTACCCCAACATAGGACCTTATCTTAATAATTAGCCTTATGTACCTTATGTACCAGAACATTATCAAACACGTTTTGGAAATCCAAATATATTACATCTACTGATTTCCCTTTATCTATCCTGCTTGTTACTTCCTTAAAGAACTGTAATAAATTGTCAGGCACGATTATTCCTTCATGAAACCATAGAATCATAGAATCCCTATCGTGTGGAAGCAGGCCATTTAGCCCATCGAGTCCACACCGACCCACCTCCTGCCCTGTTCTTGTAATCCTGCATTTCCCATGACTACTTCAACTAGCCTGCACATCTTGGACTAAGAAGCTGACTCTGCTTGATTATATTATGTATTTCTATATGCTTTGCTATTGTATCCTTTATAATAGACTGACTTTTTCCAAACACCAGATGTTAAACTAACTGGGCTGTAGTTACCTGTTTTTTGTCTCTCTCCCTGTTTGAACAAAGGTGTTACATTGCCAGTGTTCCAGTCCTCTACAACTTTTTGCAGAATTTAAGGATTTTTGGAAGATTAATAACAGTACATCCACTATCCCTGGTTCCTTCCTTTAAGCCCATCAAGTCCTGGGGGCTAATTGGCCTTTAGCCTAATTTCTTACCCAAGTTTTTTTTTCTGGAGTGATTGCTATTATGTTTATTTCCTCCGCCCTCCAGCCCCCACCCCACTTCCTTTAGTTTGTTGTATTTTTGGAATGGTCTTATTGTTCTCTATCATGAAGATTATTGCAAAATATTTATTCAATTCCTCTGCCATTTCCTGACTCTCCATTGTTATTTCCTCAGCTCTTTCTCTAAAAGGTCAGTGTTCACTGTGGCTTCTCTCTTTCTTTTAATCTATTTTTGAAGCTCTTACTGTCTGTTTTTGTTTTATTTGCTAGTTTGCAAAAAAAGTTTGTTTTCTCTCTTTTTTAGTCATCTTTTATTGGCTTTTAAGACTTTCCCTATCCCCTTGATTTACCACTAATCTCTACCACATTATATATTTTTCAATTTGATACTATC